CATACAGAAGGGGGGTGTCCTTGTTTACTTTAGAATAGAAGAAATGGGGTGCTACCGGTCTCACTGGCTTCACTCTGTGGGGGTTGCAAGGGCAGGAGGAAGCAGTAGCACCCTTTCTCCTTCTCTGTGTTTGTATGGGCTGGGCGACAGGAGCAACTGTATTTTTTTCCATTATAACTCCTTTGCTCCATTGCTCAGCTAATTGAGCAAAAACAAACACAAAACCCAGTCAACCTTAAAGAGCCACTTCCTTGCACACATCTCCTTTCCGATTCCTCTTGACATGTTCTCAAAGAATGGCAAACATCATTAAGCTAGCAGTGCCCCCTAATAGCACTAGGGCACATATATGTGATAGGACAATTGCATGAAAAATGTGGCTATCCTGCAGAATGTCTTGCCATGTGTGCTATGAGTAAGGAATGTGGGATGTGACCATGGAAGCACCATAATGAGATCTTAACAATGAAGGATAGGTGTAGATGCAGCCAGGGAGAGAAATCGTTCAAGGTTTTTGAATGATCAGCCTTTCTGAAGAGCACTGGCTGCTTTTGTGTGAAGGAACTCCTTATTCATTTCATTCCATGCATACCACTGCCTAATACATGGTCAACTGTGCTTCATCTGTTTTGAGTGTGTGCTTAAAAAGTCTTTCTGCCCTAACATATCTCTTCAGCAGCTGGATGCACATAGAGATTCCTGTTATCTGCTATATACATCTGTGGATCAGGAATACTCTCAGCATAAAGGAGAGAAATACACAACAAGAGTAACATCTATTTACAGTCCTGTAAGTTCCAGTTTTGTGCCAGTTTGGTGTTCTTGAGAAATCAGACAAGTTGAAATGCCTAATTTCTCAAACCAAATGGGCTGAAGGGAAGAACCTCAGGATTATGGTAATTATTGATTTTGTTGTTGTTGTTGAATATAGGGAAATGCAAGGTAGTCTAGCTTGAAGTGGTGCCTAAAAGGAGTGCTAATTACAAAGGACTCCAGAGACATTGTAAAATAATAATAATTCTTGGTGGGGTGGAGCAGGATGTACCATGGATAGCAGCTCAGGAAAGAGCAGAATCCTGTAATGAAGATTTTGAGAGTGGCCTCCTTAAAGAGAAATATGGTGGTGCAGTCAGGCTGCTAAAAAGATCAGAGACACCACAAGATCTGTTACTTTGTGATGTACAAAGGCAGCCTGCAAGCTTTTGCAAACATGTGCTTAGTGTCTGTCTCTTAACAACTAATGTTAAAAGTAATCCAGCTAGATTCATTTGGATATTGAAAGATTAAAGAGATAGTAAGGTTGTCATCTCATCCATGAAAGCAAGATATGACCATCTTGAATTGATGAACGGTTCTATCTGCTTTAAGTTTACCTAGATTCTAGAATGTGTGTTTTGTGTTTAACTTTTAACAAAATCTTACTTATTTCATATGCAGTAGAGAATTCACTCTTGTGACAAGGCCCAGGTTGTTTGCTTCTGGGTTTGTGGCTAATATTCTGGATTTTCGCCACCTGGAAAGCTTAAGTGTATTTGTCCAGAGCACAAATTACCTTTCTACAAAGTCAATACAAAAAGAATCATAGAGTCATAGAATAGTAGAGTTAGAAAAGGCCAAGAAGGCAATTGGGTGCAACCCCCTTCTGGTACAGGACACCTGTTTACACCATCCCATTCAGATGACTGTGTAGTTTCTTTTTGAATGCCTCTAGTGTGAGGGGGCCCACCACCTCTTTAGGCAACCATTTCCACTGTTGAACTCTGACAGTTTAAATTTTTTTCTGATATCTACCCTGAATCTGGTTTCTTGTAACTTGAGTTCTTTTTTCCATGCCCTACACTCTGGGACACTCTGAGTGAAATGAGATCTTAACCTACCTGTCTGTGACAACCTTTCAGGTACTTGTAGGGTGCTACCATATCCCTCCCTCCTCAGTTTTCTCTTCTCAAGGCTGAACATACCCAGTTCTCTCAGTCTCTCCTCATGGGGCTTTGTTTCCAGAGCTTGGATCATCTTTGTTGCCTTCCTCTGAACCCTTTCCTCCCCCCCCCCCACTTTTTTTTGCACTTTTCTTAAATGTGGTGCCCAGAACTGAACACAGTTTTCTAAATGAGGTCTGACTAGTGCTGAATATAGGGGAACTAGTACTTCTCATGATTGGGAAGTGATACTTCTATTAATGCATCTCAAAATAGCATTTGCCCTTTTATTGGCTACATTGCATTGTTGACTCATATTTAGCTTGTTGTCCACAACCTTTCCAAGGTCTCAGTTAGCTGAGCAAAAGAGTGATAATGGAAAAAAATACAGCTCCTCCTGCCCCGCCCTCCCATAAAATCATAGAGAAAGAGAAAGGATGCTTCTTCTGTAGATTCTCCTTCCCACACTCTTTATGCAACCATAGCAAGCCATTCTTTCGTGATACACATGAAACAGGACCCAGCCTTCTATCAGAAATGCAATAGTGGCATAGTCACATTCAGCCTTTCTTAGAATAAAGAGGGCTTACCTGACTCTGGATGTACCATCAGATGAGACATTTTATATTTATGTATGATGTCATTGCTATGCTTTTTACTCATTAAAACTTATGGCAGGAAAAGAAATGTGGACTTTCAGAAGTAGCTGTATCTAGAGTGTAAAGAGCATTCAGTGGGAAAACCAGGACAAGTCACAGCAGAGATGTCTACTTGCCTTTCCGTATCTTAATCTTGCTTTAGCTACTTTACAGCCTGATTTTAGAACCTTTTTAACTTTTGTCTGTTAGATTTGTATGATGAGCCTTTTCTTATCTGTCACATTTTTCTGCCCATTCTCCAAGTTGCTCAGGGTAGCATACATGGGATTATCATGTTTTTCCCTTCACAATCAACTCATGAAGTAGGTTAGGCTGTTGAGGACTTAATGAGGGTCAGAGGGACCTTTGTGCACAGGCCAAAGATTTGTGCTGAGTTCTCTTCAGCAAGTCCAGAACTCTGATTCCCTAAATTGATTTTGTTTAACACAGCCATATGTCATATGGCAGCTATACTGTCAGTTCCCTATTTGCACGTAGAACAGGGATGCACCATCTTTTGGGCTCCAGGAGCTGCTTGTGATACTTTGTGTGTACACATGTGCACATATACACACTGACTTTCAGTATGAAGATTTCTGGGTGAGGGAATAGAAAACATTCTTTGGTGTCAATGTAGCCTTGTTGGGGTTGTAAAGGCCCAGTGGGGCTGCTTGTTCTCTAGCGCTGATATAGAAGATGAAAATTGCAGAAATGTAACAATACTCCAGTTCTGTTGAAATTAATTGATGTTAGCTCCCTGTTGCTTTCCAGATATTTTAAACACCCAACAGTCCCAACAGCATAGCCAATGCTCAGGAATACTAGAACTTGTGTCCAAAACATCTAGTGTACTACGTTTTTAAAGTTGCTGTAAAACAGACTATCTCAACTTTTTTTTACCTTGGAGGAACCCTTCAAATTATTTTCATGTCTGAGGGAACTTGCCATCTGCATAGAGATGGGGAGAAGGTAGGTTGCCAGGAATGACACCTGGTGCAACCACTCACAGCACCCCACTTTCATGTCCTGCAGCTGCTGTTTGGGCAGCTGCACTTAATGGAGAAGGTTGCTGGTTGCACAATCGGGGCTCCACAGCATTTGCAGATTCCTCCTGGGCTCTATTCACTTTGCAGGACTGAGCTGAGCATGAGAGGAAGTCCATGGATGGTGGAGGGATGGATTCTAAAAAGTTTATTCAAACTCTACTCACTTCTTTGCCTCCATGGCCAATGGAGGGTATATACAATGTAATAAGAATGTGAAATAAGGGCTTTTGCTGTTATTTTAATGCCCAACACACAGAATTTCCACAACACTGCTTCCCATGAGCCTGAGGCAAACACACTTCCTGCCCTGGCTCCTTCCCTCATGGGTGGAGACTCCTTGGGCATTCTCCCATCTCTGAGGCAACTGGGGTGAGCTGAAGTGCTTGCTTGTGTGTTTATATTATAAACACATGCACATATGAATATGAAAAACATAATGTTATATTTCCTCCACAATCTCCTCCTCCACAGTCTCTTGTGGAAACCCAAGTGACCTTAAGCAGAATCCTGGGGTTCCAAGGAACCTCAGGAAAGAAAGGTTGTTCTAGAGGATCGTACAGTACCATGAAGTGGGTGAAATATTGCTGCCTGTTTGCCCTCTTTAAAATGCCAAAAACAAAGTAACGTCATGAAAGATTGGTTGCTTTTTCTTACTTTTGTAAACAAGAAAGCCTATTTACAGACTCTTACATTTGACCTACTACGTAGGAGCTCCGGGCATGCACATGAGGTTTTGTGTGCCTTTGATTCAGAAAATAGTTCTGGATATCCAAATTTGTCTTGAAAAAATCTTTTTTTATACCATGTTAAATGGAACTTGGGTGCAGTTGCATGTCAGAACAAAATTGCCTAATCATGGATAATGTATTAAACAACACAGAACAGCCATATAGTGGTCATACGTGGCCAATTAGTATTCTCCCACACATTTCACACAGAATATTTCCACTGTGTCCTTCCTAATGCAATTGAGAAGCAATCACTATTCTCCCTGAATATGAGATTATTATTCATGTACCCATCCTGTTCAAATTTAAAATTGGATAGGTGCTTTCAACACTGTAATACATCTGGGTGCAAGAACACTAAACCATCTCACTACCCTGCTCCTTCTTAGCTCTGTAGTGACACTGCTCCAGGCAATGTTTACCTTTAATGTCCACATTATATACAGAATTGGTCAGGTTCTGTAATAGACACGGTATTTGCTGATCAATCTAAAGTAAAGTTCTAGATGAGGGTAAGCAACTTTCTAGATGTTTTGGGCCACAGTTCCCAGCAACCCGGCCTAGCATGACTAATGCTGCCTATCTTGATCTGCATCTTGTTTGTTTGCTGTCCTGTGGCAGCATGTGTATGATTTATGCACTCACTCGTTTCATGGTTCTTTATTTCAGGACTTCAGAGAGTACACCAGCTAGCAGAAAACACAAGATACTTCAGACAAAGATTGCATGAACTGGGCTTCATTGTTTACGGCAATGAGGATTCTCCTGTTGTCCCTTTGCTCCTTTACATACCTGGCAAAATTGGGTAAGTTAACTCTTACTGCCCTAGGAAGCTATGCAACATGTTCAGAATTTTACTTGTAAACTCAAGTGGTAAGTCTACCTACCATTGCACTCAGTTCTTATGGGAGGGTCTGTGGCTTAGTGGTAGAGCATGTGCTTTACATGCAGAACTCCTGAGTTGCCAGCATCTCCAGGTAAGGTTAGAAAAATTCTTGCATGAAACCCTGCACAGCTGGCAATGGAAGGTTCACTGGGCCAATTGTCTGACTTCAGAGTAAGGCAGCTTCCTATGTGTTCTCATTCCATTTGGTGCACTGTCCTTTACCATTAATAATACTACATCCTCTAAAGATAAAACCGCTACGGCATTGATTTTGAAATGGTGGGATAGAACCCACAAGTTAAGCTACAACCTGAGCCAAGGTGGGCTGCACCATTTTGTCTGATTTAGATTTGTTGTTTATCTTTGGAGACATGGCAGAAGAAAAGTGACACTGAAAAATCCGAAAGGGGAGAGGTTGGGTAACCAGAAGCAAAAGAAGGACAAAACCCCAACCCTGCCAGTTTTTAATTTGAGTTTACTGGTGTCTGGCCACAACAATGAACTGGATGAGGGCTGACAAAACTGAAACCAATCCAAACAAGAGTGAGATGCTATTGGTGGGTGGTCTCTCTGACTGGATGTGGGGGTGTTCAGCCTATTCTGGATGAGATTGCACTCCCCTGAAGGAACCAGTTCATAGCTTGGAGATGTTCCTTGATCCATCCTTGTCACTTGAGGCTCAGATGACTGCGGTGGCTCAGAATGCCTTCTGCCAGCTTTGGCTGGTGGCCCAGCTATGCCCCAATGTGGACAGGGATATGCTGGTTTCAGTTATCTACATTCTGGTAATCTCTAAATTAGATTGCTGCAATGCACTCTACTTGGATCCGCCCTTGAATACAGCTCAGAAGCTGCAGCTGGTGCAGAATGTGGCAGCCAAATTAATGACTGGGACCTGCAGATCCAAACACCTAAGACCAGTTCTAGCCCACTTGCATTGATTGCCTATATGCTTCTGGTCCCAGATCAAGGTGCTGGTTTTAACCTATAAAGCCTTACAAAGCTTAGGAACAGAATTCCTGTCAGAGTACCTCTCCCAACTTCATTCTATTCATACAATGTGCCCAAGCTTTGGGGCCTTCCTCTGAGTGCCAACTCCAAGGGAAGCACAGAAGGTGGCAGTATGGGGAAGAGTTTTCTCTTTGGTGGCCAGCATTTATGGAATAACTTCCCCACTGCAACCCAACTGGTGCTGTATTTGTCATCTTTTCAGCACCTTTTCAAGATGGTCCTTTATACCAAGGCTTTTAAAGAATTATCTGGGTATACAAGAGCTTGTGGGATAGCCCATCCTGGATGTTTTACTGGGTATCTCTTTGATGTTGTTTGGTTTTAATCATTCCAGTTTTTAAACTTTTATATGTTTGATTTTATATATTTTATTGTATTTACTTGTATACATCTACTTGTATTTTAATATTTGTATTGTACAAGTATTTATATTTTATATCTGTTTTATGGACTGTTGTAAACTGTCCAGAGTGTGTCAGCAGGGGGGCAGTATAGGAATGAAATTAATAACAACAACATCTTTACTTTTTAATCATTGCATAAGAAATGGCATGTTAGCAAGTACATTCTACTATTCTACCTACCTGTCAGGTATACTGTAGTAATGGATTTTCTGCATTGGCAGGGATTAGGACTAGAATCAAGACACAGTTAAATGCAGCCAACCCCACTCCTAAACACAAAATCAACTTGTTTGGCATCTGGTCACCCTAGAGTGGAAGTACATCATCTCAAGGCCAGGGACAAAATCCAGTCCTCCTGTTATATAGGAGGCAACCCTTTCCCTGGCTCTTCAACCACTGAACATTTGGTGGCTTCCTAGTTTTTCTTGCAGTTATTTTCCTATTCTAAATATTAAAATGCCTCTTCCAAGGTTTAGTTATTGGCAATAAGAATTTTAAGCTAAAATGTGCTGGTATTTTGAGCGTTTGAGCTTCACTCTCCCTTACCTTTGGTCCAGACATCTATTAGCATATGACTGGCAAGAGATTCTTCGAAAGAATTTGGCATTTGGGCTAAAAGAACTTCTACACTCCTGTCCTAGACATAAGCAGGAAGAAGAACATCTGTAAAGCAATGTAACCCCCTCTTAAATTTAACATGGTAAGGGGGCTGAGAGTGTCAGAGAAACCAAGAGCAATGCTGTCAGAAGGCTGGACTCTCTTACTAGGCTGGTCTTCTAGCACAGTCACCCAGGACAGAATGGTCAGACCTGAGACACAAAACTAAGAAGCATCTGCCTTCTTCAGGAGTATTTTTCACATCAGCAGAAGAGACTGGATATCTCTAATGGTGACAGGGCAGAGAAACTCCTGAAGGGCAGCTACTGTGCAGCAGTGAGAGTTGAAGGTAATGGTGGCAGAAGACCGTTCATAGACAACGGCAGTAACTTAGAACAAAACAATGTATACTACTTCTGAATATTTCTTACCTTATAAACTCTATGATGAAGGCACTCAGTCAGCTACTGGAGAAGAGCAAAGAACAAGTGCAAATAGTGCTGTCGCTAATGATGCAGTTAAAACAGAGCCAAAGGGAAGTCTAATAGCTGACACACCCAGAGGCAAAAGGAGAGTCTAATGCTCTACAACACATACTGCTGGAATATAAAATGTGAAAAGTATCAACTAAGGCAGAATGGAAAGTATAAAGCAAGAAATGGAATGGTTAAACAACACAATACTTCATGTGATTGAACAAAAGTGGACAGAAATGAGATATTTTCAGTTAGAGAAACACAAAGTGTTTTACTCTGGGAATGACAGACTTAGAAGAAACAGAATGGCTGTAATACTAAGGCAAACTTTCACACAGGCAGGAAGAAGCTATAATTCAAAGTCCAACCAAATCAGATCAGTCAGAAGACCTATCAACATAACCCTCATTCAAGTCTACACTCTAACAACAGATGCTAAAATGAAAGAAATCCAAAAATTTGTGGAAGCATCCAAAAGAAATTTGATAATACACCAAAACAAGACATATTGATAGTCATGGGTGAGTGGAACACAAAGTAAACACCACTGTTGTGAGAGAATTTGACCTAAGGATCTGGAGAACAACGCATAGAATTCTGTGAAGCTAACCATCTGTTCTTTACGAATGGGATTGGGCTGGGAACAGCAGGATGGCGTTCAATGCAGATAAGTGCCGGGTGTTGCACTTGGGACATAGGAATGGGCATCATAAGTACAAGCTAAGGGACAAGTGGCTGGAGAGCAGCACTTGTGGAAAGGGGTGCTAGTTGACTGCAAGCTAAACATGTGTCAGCAGTTTGGCACAGCAGTCAAGAGGGTGAATGCCACCCTAGGATGCATAGCCAGAACGGTGGCTTCTAGATTGAGAGAGGTATTATTTCCACTCTATATGACTCTGGTGCATCCATAGCTGGAGTATTTTGCTCAGTTCTGGGCCCTTCATTACAAGAAGGATATAGCAAGGTTGGAATCGGTGCACTGAACGGCCACAAGGCTGCAGTAGAGGGCAGGATGCATTTCAATGTAGCAAAGCTCAGGGAACCAAGATTCAAGGTGGATGCCAGGAAGTACTTCCTGACAGTTAGAACCCCTATGACATGGAAGGGCTTCCACAGGAGGTGGTTGAAGCCCCATCAGTGAAGGTGTTCAAGGATAGGCTGGACATGCCCATGGTAGGCATGTCATGAGTGGAGCTGGCTGGAGCTGGGGATCAGACTAGATGGGCTGGGAGGCCCCTTCTGACTCACTATGTTTCAGTGTTTCTATGTTTCTAAATACGTATTTCAGACAAGCAAGCCCTGCTGAGGAGAGCATTCCATCATTGTAGCCACCATTGAGAGAACCCTTTCTTTTATTCTCATACTTCGCTCACAGGAGCTGCTTGGCCTTTACAACATGTAGCTTCAGAACAGGACTTGCATCTCCAGCTATTGATGTATTTAAAGACAAAAATTCATGCAGCCTTCTATGTAGTCTTTCACCAGTATTGTGTCTGAAGAAGTTGCTGGCTGTCACTTTGGTTATCTTGTGAGTGCATACTGCCTGCTACAGCCTTCCCCCTCTTCCCTTTGATAGATCTGCAGTAGTGAGTTGTTTTCTTTTTCTTTTGTCTCCACCACAGATACTTGTTACTGACTGACCCTGGCAGTGTGGATCTTCTGTTTTATTGCTTCTTTTTCCACCCTTCACCTTCACCTTTTCCTTCTTCTGCTTCTAACAAGGATATTTACTGCTGGTTCTTTTTCCACCAATGTTGAATGACAGGTTTATTCAATTAAGTTATCTCCCTCTCTCTTGCAAAGCTATATGAGTCAACTGTATGAGTCAACAAGGTAGAGAGCCTTCTCAGTAGTGGCACTAAACTATGTAATATTTCCCTGTGGTGGTTCAAATGATATTAACCCATCATTATTCTGGCACCAGCTCAGAAACTGTTCTGTTTGCCTAGGCATTTCAACTGGCTATTCTATTTTACTGCCTTCCTTTTTTGTTATAGTATGCTAATCTGTGTTTAGTGTGGGTATGTGTGCCATTTAAATTATATTTATTCACAGACCTAGAATCCGCAATGACAAAGGGTAGTTTATAAAAGTTTTAATTTAATTTTATTTAATTTGACATTAGCAAATACATTTGTAACCTTTTCCTTTTGCTGCTTAGCAACCCTTACCCATATCACACTTTAAGATATTTACACATGGTTCACACATGCAGATGCAACATGATTTGGTTTTAAACAAAAAAGCAAACTTAAACACATTCCATCTTCCCTTTTGTACCATGATTCCCTCCTTGTGAATGAAGCAGCAAACTAGAATTGTAAGCTGATTTAGCTTCCTAGTTTACTGAACTAGTACAAAGCATAGCTGGCCAGTGGGATGCAAACTAACAATGGTTTGCCACAAACCTGGATGCAGGTGGAAAGAACTGTAGCATGCTAGGGATGGAGGGAGAATGTGAGCCTGAAGCTCCTTGCAGTGGGGTATTAATAAAAAAACACATGCAAAGTTTGAATGTGGCAAATGTACAACTGAAAATGTGTGCATAATACAGGCAAGTGAGTTGGGAAGAGAACTAGCAATGAATACAATTCCCTGTTGATACATTTCTTTCAAAAGTGACACTTTCCCCTCCCCAAAATCTAGGTTTTACGTAATCTTTGCATTGTTTAGAAGTTGCTCTGCACTTTAAAGCTTCTTTTCTTTTTCTTGCAGTTAGAAGGAAATAACCTGTTGCTTTTTTCATTTCCTTACCCAGGGCATTTGCAAGACGCATGTTAGCCAAAAGAATTGGGGTGGTTGTGGTTGGCTTCCCAGCTACTCCGATCACAGAATCCAGGGCTCGGTTTTGTGTGTCAGCTGCCCATACACGGGAGATGTTAGACATGGTAAGCACAACAGATGGCTTTGCAAAATGAACTGCGTATGTTGGTGGAGTTTGGGAGAAGCCCTGTCTTGTCTCTCTAACTCCATGTTCTCTTCATTGTCTGCCATGCTTAATCATCACCATTTGATTGTGGAAGCTTTGATTTTTAAGTAAACAGTAACTTTGCAGTTAAGGAGTTAAAATACAACTGCAAAGGAGAGATACAAAGCAGGTAAAATAATATATTTTACTTAATTAGCTTTAGTATGTTCTTGCTTGAGTTCTGTAGAACTCTTCATTGGCATTTTTTGTACCAGAGATTATTGTTTACAACAAACTTGGATTAAACAAACAGCCACAAAATCAGCTTGTTTTGAAGCTGACCAGAATTGGCGTTAAATCAAATAGGGATATATTTATTGTACATGAAGAATGTGAGTGTGCAGTTAAAAGTGGCTGAAATATGCATTACAGATTTGGAAAGTTTCCTTTGCTGATACTTGGCACCTGCAAGCCATGTCCTCCATTGTGGTGAAAATAAATTACAAATCCAAATTCTCAGTTCTCGTATCTTATGTACTATATTACTTGCAAACACAGTTATCAGTATGCTGTATACAGTTGGCCCTCTACATTTGCAGGGCTTAAGGGTGCAAGGCCCACAGAAAAGTGGAAAAATCATGAATATCTATACCCCGCCCCCCAAGCCTTAACTCCTAATACTGTTGACCATATGTGTACTGGTAGCTGCATTACAATTACCTCTTTTGAAATTTGAATAACCTTTGCTGTAAAACAAGACTCAATGGTACTGGAGTTCAGCCTGCTTCAGGGGAGTTCATCCTGTGTTGTGTGGTGGGCCTTGTATGTATCTGCATGCCTGGTCCCAAGTCTGGTACTTGTCCCACTCTGGCCAGCAGGCAGCACCCCATGCAGTGACAGCCAGGAAGGGAAGCGTTATTCACACAGCTGTCTGTGGAGTAGTAAACACAGTGCTTTTTTTGTAAAAAGGAAGGAAGGAAGGAAGGAAGGAAGGAAGGAAGGAAGGAAGGAAGGAAGGTAGGTAGGTGCCGGAACTCACATCTTGGAGTCACACTTTTACACAATGGTTGGTGCCGGCAGTAAGCACTCAGCACGTGACCACACGACCGATCCCAAGCCAAGCAGCGTCCCAAGCCGAGCAGCACCCTCACAATCAGCGCTGACAATCAACACCGACACACAAGCAGCCCGCAGGCACTATGTTAATGATTTTTGCCACCGATCTGCTATGCCCAACAGGGTGATTCACAATCACTTGGAAAAATCTGTCAAAAAAGGTGCCGGAACACCGTTCCGGTGCGTTCTATGACAAAAAAAGCCCTGAGTAAACAGTAGGCTGCAAAACTCCAAAAAGATTCCCTTTTAATTATTGATGGCAAACTCGTGAATAATCAAATCCACAAAAGTTAAACCTGCAAAAGTCTGGGTTCACCTGTATAGACAAATAGTGCTACCCAGTCAGTTTGGGAAATGAAATATAATTAATATGGAATCAAGTCTTTAAAATGCACTATGGCAGACAGAAGGCAAACTCTGGGCAGTATCCAACAGGGCCAGTGTGCTCACACAATCAGCACAGCACTAGCATAAGCAGCCTCTCACACAACAGCAACAGCATAACCTTCTGCTATAGCGATTTCAAGGAAATGGGTCACACTGGCTTATACTATTGGAGTCACACTACAAGTTGCTTATACTACTTTTACAACAGTTGCATAAGTGCAGTGACCTGCTGGATAATGTCCTTTGTAAAGTATTGCTCTGGTTTGCATATAATGCCCAAATTGAATTTAGTGGTAGGTGTGCATTGTGGAATGAGCCTGAACAAAGTCTCACACTTACATGCTCCCCCACTCCCCTCCCTTCCTGTATGGCCAGTTTCTTTTCACTTCACCCCAAAGTTGGCTTGCCCTTACATGTGAACCAGAGTTGTGGTTTAATACAAATTCTCCTCAGCTTCAGAACAAGCTAATTTTGTAATTTTGTTGCTGTTTGTTCAGTCCAAAGTTTCTTGTAAACCACAATCTCTGGTTCAAACAAAATGATAAGCCCAGCTTTTGTGTAATACAAAACAACTTGAGAAGTGTTCTTGAGTGGAGGAAGCATGCAAGCCCAAGACTTTTGCTTAGGTTTGTTCCAGCTTGTTCATATAGGACTAAATCCTGGCCTGGTGATATGTGAACCAGACCAATATCTTTTTTATTACAACTGTTTTCACTTCCTAGCTGTAGGTCATTGAGGATATCTTGTTCAATGGTTTTCCAAACCCTGGAATCAACACTGGTTTGTACAGTGAAGCTTGCCTGTTGCTGTCCAATTTTGACATAAAAGAAGATCTACGTACTTGATGGTTTGCCACCAGTTTCTCTTGGCTAAAGACAGAACAAAGAAAAAAGAAAGTTGTACTATCCTATAAATAAAATATTTACTGTCCTGATTTGGTTATGGACCTACTAGCTGAATGAAGAGGTATCACATAATCTTTGTCCCAATGTATTTACGAAGATAAATGCAGATACTTTATAAATCATGCAACTAAATAATGAAAGGTCATTTAACTCAGAGTACTAAAGGTATTTTCAGTCCATTTTTACCACTGTGATGAAAATCCATAACAAAAGCCTTCTTGATTCATATGCTTCTACTATTTAAATATTAATATTAACAACAATGCTATTACCTGCTTTTGTACACTTGGCTTGTATGGGAGGAGTGCTGTTTGAGGCTGCTTTTAAACCTCACCTTACAAAAGCATGAATAATGACTGCTTTTGTCATTAACAGCTTCATGTTTCTGGGACTGGAATGGTAAGACTGGCACTAAGACTGGATCCACTGTCGTAATTTTTCCAGTGGAGTTGAGGGAAATGTTGTTATGCAAAAACATATTAAGCAAGAGAACATTTTTTAACATTAGGATAAAACCTATTATACAAAAAATCATAGAAAATAAAATAGACAGGACCAACAACGATTTACAATATAAAAGGAATTAAAATTACAATAAGGTTCTCAAGCATGAAAAAAAATGTACAATCTTATGACACATCAACTTTCAAAACTACTGGTATTCTACTTTATGGATTCATAACGTTTGTAATTATGCATGTTACTCAGTATATTTATATGCATGTTTGTAAATATATGCATTAAACACTTAGAGAATATACAGTTGTGTAAGGATATTGGGTTGTTATGGTACTCTATTACAATGTAAAATAAATTAAAAGAAGTGTTTATAAAATAAAGCATTGATGGTGGTGGGAAGAAAAAGGTAAGGTAGCTTCACATTCTATAATGACCTGGTAGAAGAAGCCTGTTCTAAGGTGGGAGGCACTGAACAACTGTACAAGAGCCTTCCTCCTGAAAAGTGCTTGGTGAAAATAATTAGCCAAACTAACTATTTAGACAAAACAGTCCAACTGTTTGGTTAACTGTTTAGATAAAGCATTCAAAAGCAAACAAAATCCACTAGTAGAACAACCTAGAGGTTCACTTTTCCCTCTAGGGAAAAGGGAGTTGAAGAAGGGAGTGGCAAATGCCAAGGCTCACCTCCATATTGGAGGACCAAGTGATGCCACTGATTAATTTTGAGACCCAGTAGCTTTCATCTTTCTGTTTGTAGCATTATTGAAATTTCACTTGGATTCTGCACTGGTCTGGATCTCCTTTTTTGGGGTGGGGTACTTTTGGGGGGTGCAAAGTTGGGGTACTTCCAGATGGAGAGCTCATAACTCTCATGCTATAAACTGTAAGTTGAATGGCAGTTGTGCTTCCATGGTGTCAGGGGATATTGTGCTGTTTCTATAGATGCCTTGCATCCACAATGGTGCCCTTAACGTTTGACATTTCTGTGTTTTTAAGAAGCATGATTTTGACATTGGGCAGTTAATGCTATCACGCATCAGTGCACATTCACTATACACATTGCAATGCATGACACTTTCATGTTTTATATTTATTTTAAGTAGCACCAAAACACTTTCTAGCTATATCTTCTTTAAGAAGAATTAACAGCAAAATAGTACATATATGTGTCATGGCTTATGGCTTTAGGGTACAATCGTATGGTCACTAGACACTGTTTAGGTGGCCGTGGGATAGACTGGGGTCCCAGCTCTTACCGTGGAAATGCATTCCATAGTTAGGACTGCAAGTATGGAGCATCCTCCCCACCACTGTGACAGACAGTGTGGTTCTTCCAGGACCATTGTGGTGGGGGCAGGCATTTTGAGGAAAGGGAAGGTGTAAGACTTCACAAAGGGGCAAAAGGCATAGACAGCTGAAATCCCACTTGTTTGCAGGGCAGGAGAAGCATTGAAGCAGTCCTTGCCTCCACTTTCAAATGAATGTCCATAGTCTTCCAACAGGAGTATAACAGGCAGCCACATTGAGGAGCACCTTTAACTGATAAAAAATAGAAAACTTTTTCTAAGCACTGTCATTTCAGCAAGGAGGTTAAAAAGGCGACCAGAAAGTATTCTTTGAAGGTCTTTTAAAATTAGTTTTATGATATCCTATTAAGTAAAAGGTAAAGGTTTCCCCTTGACATTAAGTCCAGTCATGCCTGACTCCAGGGGGCAGTGCTCATCTCTGTTTCCTAGCCGAGGGAGCCAGCATTTGTCCCCAGACAGTCTCTGTGGTCATGTGGCCGGCATGACTAAACACCAAGGTGCACGGAACATTGTTACCTTCCCACCAAAGTGGTACCTTTTCATCTACTTGCATTGGCATGCTTTCGAACTGCAAGGTTGGCAGGAGCTGGGACAGAGCAACGGGAACTCACCCCGTTGTGCAGATTCAAACTGGCAACCTTTCGATCAATCAGCCCAGCAGCACAGAGGTTTAAACCACTGCGCCACCTGCAGTCCCATGATGTCCTATTATAATGCTATAATTCTTTTCATGTTGTAAGCCGCCCCGAGGTTTCGGCAAGGGGCGGCATAGAAATGCTATAATAATAATAATAATAATAATAATAATAATAATAATAATAATAATAAAATAGAGCAAGAGCAAGTATAATACTAATGCTTTCTTTTAAGTGGTGTTTTGTTATTTTAATTTTTTTAACTATAGCTATACAATTAACTTAGTGCTACTTATTTATATCCTACCTTTTTCCTTTCAAGGTATTCAAGGTAGCTTATAGAATCCTCCTCCTCTCAATTTTATCCTCACAACAACCCTGTAAGGTAGGTTAGGCTGAGAGCTAGTGATTGGCCCAAAGTCATGAAGTGAGCTTTGTGACTGAGTGGAGACTGGAAACCAGATCTCCCAGATCCCAGTTGAGCACTCTAACCACTTCATTACACTGGCACCTAAAAGATGTATTTTTGTAAAGTGGTAAAATAGTGTCCATTACTGATGTTACACTGAATGTATACTGAGCTAGGATAGGCTTATCTGATTGTTCACTGCCAAGATCAAAAGCATGTCTCTTAAATAAAAACGCAGAAGCATCACTGAAAACATGGAAAGATTACAAATGGATGACAATGTCATGTGGACCCTCCATAAAAATAAGTGAACAAGCCATGGTGATTCAACAATAACATCTCATCTGAAGTAGTTGTACTCTTTGTTGGATTCTTTGGTTTTGATGCTAAGCAGACATGAGAGGAGCTTTATATCTTAATATAGTACTATTGTATTACAGGTCCTAGATTCTCTAGATGAACTGGGTGATTTTTTGCAACTGAAATATTCCCGGCACTCCAGGTCATCTCGTCCTGAACTATATGATGAAACAAGCTTTGAACTTGAAGATTAAGCTTCCCTCCCATGGAGAAACCATTATGAGGAGGGGAAAGAGAACCTAAACAGTAGGAATGCATTTCTTCTTTCCTAGGACAGTGTTTGCCTCAAATTTAATTGAACCAAGAGAAGCACTGTGTGTGTGTGTTTTACACAAATGGATTCTGTGTGCAAAAGACTGGAATATTGCTACACAGCTCCTCCAAGAAATATGGGTTGTAATATTCAGTACAAAAGACTTGATTCCATTAAGCCAATCACTATTGTGCCGCCTTTGTTATAGGCCTTTTAATGTGCAGGCTTTGGATAGTTCTTAATTATGATTACAATAAACTTGTAAAAGGAGTGTCTTGGAATGTACTACATTACAGGGAAAATATACTTCTTAAATTGTCTTTCACTTGTACAACATATCTCCTTTGTAGCATATGTGAATTTTGGCAGTGAAAACTGTAGGTAGAAATGTCTTGACCTAACTACTAGAGTAACAGGTGCCTAAGTGGAGGAGAGTAGTCATTCAGGACTTGCTAAACATTTGACTGTTACTGGCAAACAATTTGGTGGGAGAGGGAGCAGCTACAATCGTTTGCCAGTTGAGCGTTTGTTTTTTTAATGGTTAAGAATTTTTAATTCCATTTGGCAAGAAAGGAGAAGCCACACAAATGTTAGTTTTTAGTCTTATACAGTTGCATTGAATTCTACAATTAAAGAGATATTCTTTTGTACTTGTTGATCCTAAAGCAGGCTTAAAGGCTTTCCATGCACAATCTTAATAAGTGTTTCATGGTCTTGTTAGCAACATACATAGCATTACAGTTAACAAACTACAGTTGTTACAAGCCTGTTTTCTGTCTTTGAACCACTTTACAGGCTCTGTAAAGATACTTATGAGTACAGAACACTTTGGCTGCTACTTACACAGGACCTTGCTGTATCTAACACTCCCACCGATTAAATTGAAAGGTCTCTTAGTCCTTTTATATTGCCAGTTCTGTGACGTATATACAGCACAGTTGGAGATGGGCTAAGGTTTTTTTTTCCCTGTGAAATTGTGTGTGCATGCGTGTGTGCATTGTGCTTAAATGTTTAAAACGTTACCTGTTTTAAGAAGATGACTAGTGATCTCAAAAGGGCACAGGAGCCAAGAAGAACAGGTGGATATAGTCCCACTTCCATTCAGCCAAATGAATGGGATCCTAAGTAAGGGAAACTTGCCACTGTCTCCAGACTGGGTTGTATGTGAAATGATGTTATCCAGTCTCAGCAGTTGTCGTTTGTGTAGCTTTTAAAATAATAATAATTATTATAATTATAATAATAATAAAAATAACTGGTTGAAAGTCATTTCTGTAGCTTTTGGGAGCTGCAAGCCTTTTGGGATATCTGATGGCATTGTAGACACATCCAATCAAGAGATGGTTAGCTTTCTGCAGCACAGATGTACTTTGCTTTCATGTTCTTGAAAGCTGTGGTATCCACTTAACCCACAGCTGCAAAATTAGATTTAAGAACAGAACAATTAAATTGTGGAATAGCAATTAAAGTGTATGACTCCCCTGCTTGTTAAAGCAGCTTTGAGGATAAAGCAAGGCTGATTAGTTATGAGTCCCCTTTTTGTTGTTCGAGTTCATAAAATTCAATGCTGCTATAATGTTAAGAATGTACCACAACACATTCCAAAATATCAAATGTCTGCTTCAGAAGTATATTTGGAGGGTGGGGAGTGAATTGTACAGTATTATATGATTGTTCACTTTGGCAAATCAACTTGAGAAACACGAAAGCAGCCCCTGTTTGTGTGTTATACTAAAACTACTGTATAAAGATTAAATGATGTTTTTGTGTGTTTTTTTAATTTTTTGAAGTTGACTTATTTTTTCTTCATTTACAAACTTTCATGGAGGGTCTGCATGAATCCTCTACTGAAAAATTGTGGTGAGTTACAGAAGAAACACAACTAGAAAAAAAAATCTGGAGATTGTGAGTCCACAGTCCACAGGATCCACAGAACATCCTGATTCAGTGGTCATTTGTGGGAGATGTGGGTTCTTTCTCTTTAGATATCTTGTCCAAGTTCAGGCCTCGGCCAAAAGTGTGTGTGTGTTCGCTTGCACTTGCTCTTGCACGCCCTCTCTCTCGCTCCCCTCCCCCTCTCTTTTCAACCTAATTTTAATTAGGTTTTAGACAAATAATTTCCTATAAATTTTCTCTCTCCTCTCCCTGCTACCCACAACCCTACTTGCACACACAACTCCCCAAGATAGTGAGTGAACATACTAAAGCATTAATCTTGGGATACACATTGATTTAAGTATGCATTGCAATATGACAACGTAGCTTTTTGCATTGGCCATTGGCTAGATGGCTTAATCATGGGCATATCCAGGAAAAGCATGTAAATCCAATTAACACTTCAATTTAACTAGCATCTTTTATCTTCATTACATAAACAGGCTCTCCCCTCTGAATATTTGTCACTGACTGTCCAACCTCCAGGTGAGATACCCTCTCCAGCCCAGTGCTCAGTCTCCTGTGACACGCTTCACTTTTGGTAACCAGAAGTTCTTGTGTCTGCTTTCTGTTGTTGCATTTCCCAGGAAGATAATAGGACAGACCAGATCCACTGATCACAATCAAGGAAAGCAGCATCTCATAGGTTAATGTATACATTGAAGAAGCTTTCTGATTGTCATGTTTGGCCTGAACAGTTTGTACAACTGATAAATTATGAAGATAAGTAGGAAAAGGTTGTACATTAGTAGAAATGTAGTTTAGAATAGCTTTCTAAAGAGCAACTTAAAATCATGTTTACTCTCAAAAAGCAGTTGAGCAGCAAGGGCTGAATTGTGCAGCCGAAGGCTAGGCTCTGACAGGCCAGCCTTGTCCCTGGCCACATAGCAGGCAGTACATGCCAGGAGCAGTCATGGAGACCTGGCCTCAGCATCTAGGTTTGAATGGATATGCCAGAGGCCAAAAAAATAAACCTCTTTGTGGGCAATAGCCTCAGTGCAGAAGACACAACAACCTACCTTAGCTAGCTAACTTGATCATGGTTATCCGAAGGAGAGTGTTCATGAGACCACTACTAGGATTGAAATGGCCTCGGTGCACTACTGCTCAGAAATTAAAGTGGTGTAGCTATGATCCGCAGTAAAACCACCTTCATGTGCCCCTTTTAATAAATGTACAGTAGCACGCAGGGGAGATATTCAGAAGTGAAGACAACAAATTTAGCTCTCAACTTCCTGGCTGCCAACACAAATAAACACACATGATAACATAACTTTCATTTTCAAACAAAGTGTACAACTGAGAGAAATATTTTTCACATAGATTCCTATAGAGAGAACTTTGGGTGGCATAGTGGACAAAATAGTAACAGTGTTACAAAACACACAAGACTGTTGGTCCAATGGTAATTTTTTACCATGACTTTGGAAGAAAGAGAAGGCATAACATTAAGTCTTAACGTTCTAAAAGCAAATAAGGGTATGGTGCCATAAGTTTTTGTGGTCCAGAAGACCTCCCACCCTCAACCCTAAGTG